AGGCCAGCTTCTTCAGGTGGTCAGAGCAGCCAATGGTGCCCAGTATATCTTTCAGCCTCAGCAGTCAGTAGTTCTACAACAACAAGTTATACCACAGATGCAGCCTGGAGGTGTACAAGCTCCTGTTATACAACAGGTTTTAGCCCCTCTTCCTGGAGGAATTTCACCACAGACGGGCGTCATCATCCAGCCTCAGCAAATCTTATTCACAGGAAATAAGACTCAAGTTATACCTACAACAGTGGCAGCACCCACCCCAGCACAGGCACAGATAACCGCAGCCAGTCAGCAGCAACCACAGGCACAGCCTACCCAGCAGCAGGCGCCGTTGGTTTTACAGGTTGATGGGACTGGAGACACATCATCAGAAGAAGAGGAAGATGAGGAAGAGGATTATGATGATGATGAAGAGGAAGAAAAGGAGAAGGATGGAGCCGAGGATGGGCAGGTGGAAGAGGAGCCCCTCAACAGTGAAGATGATGTGAGTGATGAGGAAGGACAGGAGCTTTTTGACACGGAAAATGTTGTCGTGTGCCAGTATGATAAGATACACAGAAGTAAAAACAAATGGAAATTTCATCTCAAGGATGGCATTATGAATCTTAATGGAAGAGATTATATATTTTCCAAAGCCATTGGAGATGCAGAATGGTGAAGAGTTGCTTCTTTTATAAATAAAACAAAAGAAACTTAACAAAATTAAAGTGGATGGTTTGGAACTTGGGACATAATACCAACCAAAACTTCACTTCTGCATGTCAGAAAAGTGCAGTAGAAGGAAAGCTACTGGAGCGAAGATAGACCGTGACAGCATAGACACTACTTCTAACTGGCAAGCCATGGAACTGTAGTACCTGGGGGTATTGGGGTGGGGGTTGGGTTTTGTGTAGGAAAATCATAATTGTCAATTTTAAATACAGGAACTTGCCACCGGCAATTAGCATGTAAAGCTTTGTCTATTATCCTTCCTCCAACTTGGGCTTAATTAGAAGACACTTGTTGGAATGAACTGAAGAAACTTCCTTTTGATAGATTGAAATGAAACTGCTTATTGTATGTGGTTATATTTGGTAAAAATTACGTGCGAGCTTTTTACAAAAGGGTAAGAATTATGGTGTTGAATTTTAATTCACTTGTATAAGTAAACAACTGAAACTCTCGTCTTAAAATTTTTTACCTGTTATTCTCCCCCAGTAATATAGATCTGTTCCCTGCTTTATGAAACATCTATTTAAGAATTAAAGGAAGTGTGATCAGTAATCAAAAAAAAAAAATTGATGGAGAAATAAGAATTTCCGCGACAAAAAACTGATGAGATTTGTGACCACCAAACCAGCTCTACAGAATGCATCAAGAAACATATTAGAAAGAGAAAATAAAGACCACAAACACAGGGACACCAGTAGAAAGAAGCTGGTAGGTAGGACAAGCAATTAAACAGAGCAGAAAGACAGGGAACAAACAACAAAGAAACAACATGGAAAAGAAAATCCAATACATATCAGTTATAACCATCAATATAAATTATCTGAACTCACCAATAAAAAGAAACAGACTAGCAGAATGGATCAAGAAGCAAGATCCAACAATATGTTGCAAGCAAGAAACACACTTAATCCAAAAAGAATTCATAGACTAAAAGTCAAAGGATGGACTAGAGTTCTCAATGCCATAGGAACCTAGAGAAAGCAGGGGAAGCTAGTGTATTTGCATGCAATAAGAACTTCAAGCCAAACCTGATAAAAAGAGGCAAAGAACGTCACTACATACTCTCTAAGGGAAAATTCCACTAAGAGATGACAATCATAAATATTTATACATTAAACACAGGCTCACCCAACTACACAAACAAATATTAACTTTCATGAAAATCCAAGCAAATGGTAACACAATGTAGTGGGGGAACTTGATATCCCACTCTCACAAATGGGTAGATTAACTACACAAAAAGTCAACAAAGAAATATTAGATTCTGACATTGCCAATTAAACAGAAGACCCAATGCTATTATGGGCTTCTGTACTCTTTTAGAATATTTTGCTGAGTTTACACACCTATAATATTCAACA